TGGGCGTATCTCTGCCAGTTTTGAAAATAAAAGCATTAAAAATTTGCAAAGTTCAGTTTATGGTGTAAAGTAGGTCAAAGGTCAATTTCAAGGTCATATTTAGATTGCCAGTATATGACTTCCTATTCAAGTTCAATAGTAACTATGGACCTATCTCTGCTAGTTTTCGAGATAAAAGGGAACAAAATTTGCAAAGTTCAGTTTATGGTGTAAAGTAAGTCAAAGGTCAATTTCAAGGTCCGTTTATATTGCCAGTATATGACTTTCTATTCAAGTTCAATAGTAACTATGGACCTATCTCTGCTAGTTTTGGAGATAAAAGGGAACAAAATTTGCAAAGTTCAGTTCATGGTTAAAAGTAGGTCAAAGGTCAATTTTAAGGTCACAGTAAATTGCCTCGTATGACTTTCTATTCAAATTCAATAGTAACTATGGGCGTATCTCTGCCAGTTTTGAAAATAAAAGCATTAAAAATTTGCAAAGTTCAGTTTATGGTGTAAAGTAGGTCAAAGGTCAATTTCAAGGTCATATTTAGATTGCCAGTATATGACTTCCTATTCAAGTTCAATAGTAACTATGGACCTATCTCTGCTAGTTTTCGAGATAAAAGGGAACAAAATTTGCAAAGTTCAGTTTATGGTGTAAAGTAAGTCAAAGGTCAATTTCAAGGTCCGTTTATATTGCCAGTATATGACTTTCTATTCAAGTTCAATAGTAACTATGGACCTATCTCTGCTAGTTTTGGAGATAAAAGGGAACAAAATTTGCAAAGTTCAGTTCATGGTTAAAAGTAGGTCAAAGGTCAATTTTAAGGTCACAGTAAATTGCCTCGTATGACTTTCTATTCAAATTCAATAGTAACTATGGGCGTATCTCTGCCAGTTTTGAAAATAAAAGCATTAAAAATTTGCAAAGTTCAGTTTATGGTGTAAAGTAGGTCAAAGGTCAATTTCAAGGTCACATTTAGATTGCCAGTATATGACTTCCTATTCAAGTTCAATAGTAACTATGGACCTATCTCTGCCAGTTTTGGAGATAAAAGGGAACCAAAATTTGCAAAGTTCAATTCATGATGAAAAGTAGGTCAATTTCAAGGTCACACTTAGATTGCCAGTATATGATTTCCCATTCAACTTCAATAGTAACCATGGACCTATCTCTGCCAGTTTTGGAGATATAAGGGACTAAATGTTATAATTTTGGAGTTACAATAATGTGCCATAAATTTCCTACAGAAAAAATTAATTAAAATAAAGAAAAGGTCATTTTAGTCAAAATTCTTGAAATGGGAGGTGCTCTGAAGTTCCAGATGTTCAAATTTGATGAAATAATGTCATTTTTGACCACAGGTTGTCTGCCTCGCCAAGCCTTACATTTTATTTTTCGGGAGTTCAAAATGTATTATCCATTACCGTACTGCACATTTTGCTTTTACCACCAATATGTACTTTTTGATACAGCGTAACTCGAAAACCCTATGGAATACAAAAAAACGGAGACCACCCCCAGTGTTGGGCTTTACATGCTCTACAAAATGCAAAAAAGAATGGGTCTCTAGCACTAACGGTTCCCGAATTAGAGACAGTTTTCAGTTTCGGTTTCTTATGGCCGCTACTCCCGTGAAAATGCACCGATTGACCCAAAATTCACAGAGATGAAAGATGACCCAAAGGGTAACACTTTCCAATAATATTATTGGTTAAGTCTGTGTAGTGTCTGAATAACAGCACAAAAAAATTTTTTTTCGTAAAAAATTTCGTTTTTTTGAAAATTTTAGCCCGTTTGACCTTGAAATAAAGGTCAAAGGTCAAATCCAAGGGCATATTTGAAATCTACACATGACTTTTGGAAAGCCGTCAGTAGAAATTTTTCCCATAATTCCTTCCGTAGGGTAGATAATTAGCATTTAATTTTGCCATTTTTGGACAAGGGTGCATTGCAATGAGTGCCACACCTAGACCCCAATACCGACAAAGCCCAAATTTTACGTGGAATGAGTTGAGATTATAGGTGACCTAAATCCAAGAGATGGGTACGCAGGCCCTAGTAGTCTAGGAGGAGAAGCGGTAACGGTGACTTGGCGGCAGAGCTGCAGGAGCCGGCAGAACATACGGGTCGGGACTAAAATCATGTGTACCGCCAGCGCCTACGCTGGTGGTACAATAAAAATATCTTTTAACTTTCAAGAAATGAAAATAAGAAAAAAGTCCTTTTCTTAGGAAGGTTTAAAAATAAAAAACGATAAATAACATAAAAAACATCAGCAACAGCAGCATAGTTTGCATGAACATTTAATTTGGTTCACTACATGTTGCAAATTCAAAACGAGACATTTTCATCCTAACACATTTTAATTTCTTTTTCTTCATTGAATGAATAACCCAAGAATTCTTCAGTTAAAGTACATTAAACTTTATGCCATTATACACGGTTTGATCTTTATTCTTGTGTGTTGTTTTCAGTGTCCTTTTCTCTCTGTCCTTCTATAATAGCATTTATGGCAGACTGTCCAAGAACAAGAGCTTCACCTTCACGTAGTACTACAGGTGTTAATATTTCCTTAGTTGAAGGAACTAAAATAATTTGGCCTTGACCTCCAGTGCAATCACCTTGACCCACATTGCTCTGACCACTGCTTTCCAGAATTTCTGGTTGCTGATAAGAGTTTTCTATTAATGCCTCTTCTCTGGCCTTCTCTTCTCGCAATCTCTCAACAGCTTTCACAAATGAGTCCACCCTTGCGCCTGAGCTGGATATTCTTGATTGTGATTGCCGCTTTGGTAGAGTCTGCAAAGTACAATGTAAAGAAAAACTCTGAAAAACACACAATAACGAGTTTGAAAAAATTGTATGTACATACTGCTTATGATACCATTTCACTTAAAATGAATTAAATAGAATTAATGAACTAGAGGATCAGAGAGGCGATACCGCCTTCAAATATTGTACCACCAGCTGGAGTAAGCGCGATCGTATAGACCCCACACACACAAAAAAAGGGACACCACCACTAGTCTTGTGCTTGACAAGCTGTAAAAAATGCAATCAACAAGAATTCTCAAAATATGCAAAAAAAATATATAACCAAAAATGGTACAATCAAAGTTCAGTTAGTAGTAAGGTAGGTCAAAGGTCAATTTCAAGGTCACAGTAAATTTCCAGTATATGACTTCCTATTCAAGCAAATGAGATTATAGGTGACCTAAATCCAAGAGATGGGTCAGTCTGCGACGTTAGGCACTAGCCCGAGGCAATTGCCCACCTAAAGTGGCACCAGGCTAGTAAAAAAGTTGAAATTTTATAAAGCACTAGCCCGAACGGGCTAGTTGAAATTTTGAGCCTTTTGTAACACTCAGTAAGATTTCAAAAATATAAGTCGCCAGTCTTCTTTGTCCCTGCCTCTAATTTGACGTTTCTAGACAGTATGATATGCCTCTCAGTTGAAAAAACTCACACCTAGCTCTAACTACTGAATATTGATTAGTTGCTATAAATAACTTCACTGTAGTTATTTATAGCAGCAGTCTGTCTGATCAGCGTGTCGGCATCTTTTTATTTGACCAGTTTGTTGTCATGACTACAAATTGCTGTCAATCAAGTTACTGGATCAGACCGGAATTCCTTGGTACTCGCAACAGGTTTTGTCAAAACAACACTGTCACCGAAGCAAGTGTAATTAATGTATGCATTATCTCATAGAACATTTGGGTTAGGACCACTTAGCAGACTGAGGGGTGTAGTATTCTATTTCCTTTTTTGTTTATATTTTTTATTTATAATTTTAATATCCACGAGTTAATACATTTTCCTTTGCTTATTGCTTTTTAAAAACAATAAGACCCTGGCAGTTACATGTGACATAAATAATAAATATGAACTATTCTTGACAATGTGGGATAGTTGGGTTTATGCCATGGCTACCCCTCCACACTTTGTCCTGGTAAAGTCCTTGAAAGTTGTTTTTACAAATGTATAACCAAAAGAATTGTAACCAAAAAAATTGCAAGACGTTTGTTTAATTACCCTTACAGCACCTATGTATTTTAAATTAGAAGTGGCATTATATACCGATGTAATTAGAAATAAATTGTTAGAAAAGAGCTATTGTCAATAAAAAGAAAAGGAATTAAAAAAAAATATTTTGATTGTATATAAAAATGGAGAGAAAGGTATTATAAAAATATGAAAAGTAAGGGTAACTATATTCAGTATTACATATTAAAAAAAGGAATTTTTCAATATTAAATAATTAAATATATTTTAAATCGATTTTACCACCCCATCAACTGAAAATTAACCTGATTGACTTTGTTATTCACTTGCTCTACTTCTATAATAAGGTTTACAAGAAAGTAAGTAAGGTACCACAACTCTTTACAACATCTGCTTAAACTTTTTAAATGAATTATTTAAATTGGGCTAGTGTTTTTTGGTTCGGGCTAGTAAAGTTTGAGAGTCTGCTAGCCCGAAGGGCTAGTAGTCTAAAAAGTTTTTGGCACAGACTGATGGGTACGGAGGCCCTTACTGTCTAGGAGGAGAAGCGGTAACGGTAGCCGTCCGGCGGAGCCGCAGGAGCTGGCGGAACGATCCGGACGGGACTAAAACCATGTGTACCGCCAGCGCTAACGCTGGTGGTACAATTAATTGATTTATTACCAAACCATCTGTGAAAGCAATCACTAAAGGATAACAGGCATTATCTCTAAAGCGCAATTATCAAAATTACATGAAGGGGAGGCATGAACACAACACTCAAATATCCTGTCAACTCCCATCTCCACACTTACTATATCAATTTCCATGTCCTTGAAACTTTCCAAAGCGACTTCTTTGGAGGTGCGGCGGCTATTAGTTCTTGTATTCTTCTCCCCTGGTTTGAACCAGACTCTTTTGATCCAAGGCCCTCTTGGACGCCCTGGCCGCTTCTTCACAGAGACTGGAAACGGTAAATTTTGCGAAGACCATGAAAAGAAGTTGTTATATGTCAAGATTATTTTCAAACAAGCTGGATATTTTCAATTTCAATGAGCAGTACTTAGTGTAAAAATTATTCAGGGCAGCATTTTAAATTTTGAAATTCTCGACTATGTATCTGTGACATTTACAATTTTGACCTTTTTTTTTTAAGATAACAACCTGCTTTTTGAGCATCTTCATTTGTGATAGCCATGCCACCATCTACAGACACTGAAGTTCCTGCTTCAGAAGGACCATGTTCACCATCATTTTTTCCCTGGCCACTTGACTCAACTGGCAGTGTTTGGACGGAATATTCTAGACTCTCTCCTTGGCTGATATGACTCTGGGCGTTTGATTGGTTGTTTTGCTCTAAAGTCCTTGTCTGGTTAGGATCTTCCAAGACAACCAATTGGCTAGGGCCTTCCTGTACATCTGATTGGTTAGTTCCATTTGGCTGCTGCTGTTCACATGACGTGGCAGATATTTCAGAGCAGTTGTTGCGATTTGATAGGAACTGTTTCAGCTTTCTCTGAGTTTCACTTCTCTGCTTCATTGCAGCTTCCGTTTTGATCCTCATCTTTTCCTTCTCCTCTTTGAGTTTCACCAAACCCTTGCGAAAACGTATCCCTTTGGTACATGCGTATCTGAAAAATACATGCGTGTACATAATGGTAACATTGACAGAAACTGTGATTGCACTGGAAGGTCTCCTTTTTTTGAAAAAAAATATATATATAAGAAAGAAGGAAATGGAAAAAGGATAGGTTTACAAGTCTGATGAAAAAAAAAATAAACAAAAAGAAACCTTGTCTTGAACCAAAATGAAAACTGCAGGAGAGTAAGGTATTGCAAAATTTCTTTATGCTCAAATGCTAATTATATAACTTACTTTTTCTTCGTCTTTCTTTTATTTGAATCCGTCTTCTTGGATTCCACAAAATCCTGAAAGAGCAATATTTGCAAAATAGCAAAAATTAGACAGTAGCTGATGTTAGGTTAAGTAAAATTGTAGTATAATCATAACTGATTTTTTTGGCTTTCTTAAAATAATTTTGGGAGGTAAAAGTCAATTTCTACATCACTTAAATTTTGCATCCTTATTCATGTAATATAATTGTTTGAGGAGCCTTGTTGAAGAGAGTGGCAAAAACTCTAGCCCACAGAGAAAGAGATTAAGAACTGTGTTTACAGCATTCCATTCATTGCCTTCATTTGGCAGTAATTCTGGTGTACGGATCGTAGATAGAAGAGCTGGCCACAGGAACAGAGAAATGAAACGTGCCTGGAAGATTAAAAATAATTATATTAATCATTATCCATCACATTTGTTAAATTCATCTCAATCTTTAAAGTGGCATTCACATTCTAAGCACAGGTCTTTTTTTTTTAACCATATTTTTTCTTAAATAAAAAATAGGAGCAAAATTGACTTTATTTTTACCAGCAATAAACAATAATATTATTGATAACCCACTTAATATCAATAATCCACAATAAAAAATTAATTACTTATTAACTTGCAAAAACGTAATATACCTTTAACATTTTATAATCATGTGTTTCACGAATACTTGTCAATGGGTTTTCCTCATACACCACAAAATTCAAATTATTAGTCCCACTATCTTTTTTAGATTTTTTGGCTTTAGGAGTGACACTTGATGATTTTTTCTTCCTCTTCTTTTTCCCCTCAGTCACAGTGGTGTCTGACGAGTTTCTGTCGTTGCCTTTTTCTGTGGCCTGGCATTCGGACAGATGGACCCTGACCATAGGGGAATTGTTGCAGTATTGCCCTCCAACTGACATGAGCTTTCTCCGATCTAATAGGACAGATTTAAACCCATTTATGGTAGAACAAGTTGGAGGAAAGGGAGGTAGATCGTAGTTTTTATATACTGTCCCAGGCGCTTCCTGGATATGCAATTCTTTTGTCCTTGGGTTTTGGGTATTCTCATTGGTCATTTGCCCTTCCAAATTTTCCTCCATATCACTGCTTTGTATTATCATTGGTGTGTTTTGGTCAGGGGCTGGTGTTTTAACAGAAGAGTGGCTCGTCTTTTCTCTACTTTGTAATGTCACTGTTGGGGTTTCCTTTTCTGCTGGCAATGCATCAACAGAAGAGTCACTCGATTTCTCTTTTTCCTCATCTGGATTGACACCATCTTTCTCACTACTCTGTTCCATAATTCCTTGACCCTGCTCTTGTTCTGGGTTTTTACTCTGTTCAGCAGAGCTTCGGGGACTTTTATTAGATTTCACAGTTTGTAAAAATTGCCTTAATTGTGGCTGTGCCTCGAGCACGCGTACCAACGTCTGCATATCCTGCTCCAGGTTTACAGCCTTCAAATCAGGCTCCTGGCACACTGCCTCCATCTCTGCCTTTCTTTTACGCAAGGGACGTCCACTTGCTGTGGTTCTTTCAGCATTGTTCCGGGCTTCAGCGGCTTTCTTTTCTCTCTCTTCCTCTGCTTCTTTTTGCTCTTTTAATTGCTGCTGTACCTTGAGATTATGCTCTGCTCCCAGTACATCAATGGCTTCAGTCTGAAATAAGTCCATAAATTAATAAATTAAATACATAAATAACACAACTATTCATCTCGGGAACAGTTCAGGACTGAATTTTTTCAAAAGAAAGAACAGTCAAACCCGTGTTACGAAATTGCATAAACAATATATATGTTAATACCACAAGACTTTAAGCTCAAATTTAATAGGCACAGTTATTATGGGAAATTATGTGAAAAAAAAAATCATCACAAATAAAAATTTTTATGATAAATCTGTAAAAGACAATCCTTACCTTGAACAAAAGTGGCAGAATCAAGTCGGTCCTTTCATCTTCATCCATATTTCCTGCTGACAAATACTGCAGCTTGGTTTGTTCTGGTGTGGTAAATATAACATTGACATTTTCAGCAAGTTATCAAAAAAGCAATATAATCTAAACAAAGGTGATATATTCATATAAACCTAATCTCATCATCCATCTGGTTATTATTCAGACAAAATTGGTTGAAATTACCAATGAGTGCTACCCACATCACATTGTAACATATGGTCATATGAACAAAGAAAAGGCCCCTTAAGCAGGCACAAATTCAGAAACTTCTTTTTCCCATAATCAAATGTATTTAATGAATGTTATTTAGGTTTAGATGAACATAATGAGTATAGCAAATAAAGAGAACCACAGGACCACATACTTGAAACTCACAAACACATGGTATATACTTTGATCTCCTAGGAGTGCAGATGATAGATATTATATTACCTGATTCACTTATTTCATCTGTTCACATTCTTATCAAGACAGTCTACTCTCTCACTTACTTCTTTTTCTATCCATAACAAAAAAATCCTCACATGGATGACATCAAACTTACTTAAGTACTTTCTGGGTCTTCCTGGCTTAACTCGGAAAGTCACTCTGCGACGAAGAGCCATGTCGAGCAAATTGTCAAGACGCCTACTTTCCAGCTTGGTATGTTTTTTGCCTCGCTTAGACAGCCCTGTCAACTGTTTCTTGATCTCTTGGGACACACTTAGCACTTCCTTCACCGTCGTCTCTGGGGACAACAAGTGGATGCGGAAACGCAGCTCAGGTGTCTGGAACAGAGAAGAAAACCGAGTTATAAGTTAAATGTTCATAAGAATATATAATTAATATAAAAAGCGGATACAGAAACACAACTTGTGTGTTTGGAACAAGATTCGGCAGGTGTTCTATAGTAAAACTTAGAAAAAAGGTATCAAAAAGCACATGCGTTCGGAAAAGTGAGAACCAAACCCAATTATAAAATAACAGGATCAGAAAAAATAAAGTATGAAATGTGGAAATGCAGCTAAGGTGAACGGATGAAGGGGAAAAAGGTTGGAGAGATGGGAACACTCATACCAATGCCTTTGAACTCTTCAGCCTCCGAAGCCTGGCAACAGCAGCTGCAGTGGTGCTGCCAAACTCCTTGTCCATCTTGTCTGGTTCTACCTTCTCTTTGATAAGTTTTGACATTTTCTTCTGTAGGTACCCATCCATAGCATCCAACAACATATCCCACCTCTGCACTCTGTCTTGCTTAAAGTGCTGTCTATTAAGGGGGCGTGGTATAAACAATCCTAGAGTGATACAAAATTTAGTACAGGAAAGAATTCTTTTATTTTTTTCCAGCTGTAAAATAATGTCAAACAGAAGAAAGAGGTTGAGAACAAAACACCTGAAATCTCAAAACTGTTGTTAATTAACACAGTCCCGGGTAAAAGTGGAAGATTTATTTGGGTCAAAACAGGGAATAATTTTCTTTAAAAACAAATATTATCTTTAAATATGTTGGTTTGTCAAATACATTTACTATGAGCCAATTCTCAAAACCTCTTACTCTAATAAAGCAAAGTTGGCTTTGCTAGGGTAGCTGTCATTTAAGCATTCTCATTTGCCCAAAAAAGCCAGCCTTCTTTGTAACAAAGGCCACATGGTTTTGTCCAGTAGTGTAGGTCAAAAGGCTCAATTGAGAACTCACCATTTTCCATATCCTTAAGCTGCATGTTGATCTGTCTCTCCTCCTCTTCTTTTTCCTTCAGTAGTTTTGTATACAAAAGCTGCAGCTCCGTTCCCCTTTTATTATCTAGTTCAAACTCTTTGCTTCTATTTTCCGCAGTGATCAAAGTTAGTGATTTATTTGGGGCAGTGGCCAGCTAGAAAATATGACAATTGAATACATTAAAATCATTTATAAATGTAAATGCAACAAATATTGCATTTAGCAACCCTTAAATTACATTTTTGCTATGTTTTCATCTTATCTCAAGTTCAATATATCTCAAGATCCAGTAGAGAAAGAAAATGGCATAAATTTATTCCAAGAAAAAAGAAAACTAGCATTCACCTATTTATCAGGGTCAAGACAAAGCACCTGCCACCTAAGCAGTGTTCCTGTCCTCGACAGAACCTAGACAAACCCACTCTTCAAATATAACTGCCTCTCAATTTTACTTAATTTTATTGCTTTAACACCCACTCTCCATACATAACTAAGAAAGTGACATAATTTCTTTCTTTAATTCTGCAAAAACATTTTTTTTTTGGGGGGGGGGGAGGGGGGGGGGGAGTATAAATTGGCCAATACCTCCTGGATCATATTTGCCTGCATCATTTCTTTCATCTTCTCCTTATCTCTGTCGTATCTTTCTTGGATGTCAAACAACTGTTCTTGCAGCTTTTTTTGCAGCTCCTCCCCTTCCAAGGCCCATGACTGCCCCCCTTGCTGTAAATAATAATGATGATAATGAGAATTAGAAGACAAAAAACAACAAATATATAATACTACATGGGTTGTGTGCTCTCAGACAACACACAAAACATCAAAAAATGATGCCTTTTATTTATTTATTTATTTATTTATTTATTTGCATTTTATTATTAAATCATTCACAAGCAGTCACCAGTTTGAACTGTTCATTCTTGGGGTTAGTTTTAAACTGATCATACACACATCAAAAATCAGAAAGTGTTACAATTCCTGAACATGTAACAATCCACAATGATTTTGTATACCTGTTTAGCATGTGCCATTTGCTGCTTCAACTTCATTAAGCCAAGATATCTGTCCCTGACCATGCGATCATGTCTGCCAGGGATGCCAGCAGCAATCTGGGACCATTTGCCTGAAATGGGTGAAAGCAAACTGTACAGTCATATTGTATTAAATCATTTTATATATCTTGTCACTATGTTACAATATTTTTCTTTTTTATTTACCATTTGCCCCAAGGGCCAATTTTGCTGTAAATTATGTTCACCATACAACATGTTCCATATCATTTTCTGCACCAATAAAAACTTCATCCACTGGACCTCAATTTATTCAATAACCCAAATTCTAAAGAACTTTGTAAAAATTATTTTTTATGTTTGTAACAATTATAAAACATGATATTAGTGACAAGCACTTCAAAAGATGAGAAAGGTCCTTCTTCCCTTCCTACAGAAATTAACCCCTTATTTGAATTTTCACGCCAATGCAACTGCTCACATTTCTATACTTTTTTCTTTTTACATTTTCGGAAGCTGAAGAACTGGATCTAATAATTCCTGTGGCAAAAATGACATGATATAAGTTTGCAAAATGGTAGAAATAAGATTAAAATGATTAAATATACCTCCCTCAGACATGCTTGATTGCACTGCTAGCAAAAAAGTAGTTAGGTTTCAAGCTCTATTTAATGTACAGAGGACAATTTTCAATATTTTTGTGCAAGAAAAAATACAAATACCTCTCCCATATTTCCCGACTAATTCAAGCAGCTTTCTGTCTTCTTCGTATGTCCATGGATCGAATCTCAGATCTGAACTTAAGACATTGCGCCACCTTTTAAAATATCAAAAAGGAAAATAATATTATCTACATGATTTTGAAACAATGTTTAAGCACCAAATAATATATACTTTTTCCTACACAGTTAATTTAACGTAATACGCATGCTTTAGCATACACACACTGCAGTATGCCAATAACAAACTGATATTGTCTAATTACAAAAAAAAAAAAAAAAAA